GCCTGGGCGCTGCCCCTCAGCTCTTCAGCTCAAGGCTAGCACTCTACCACTTGAGCCACAGCGCCACTTCCAGCTTTTTTCTTTTTGCTTATGTGACACTGAGCCACCTTCCCAGCCCCTCATAGCTCCTCTTTTGTACTGAGATCCTTGCCACAGGGTCTTAAAACTCAAGGCCTGAAGAGTTCCAGAGGGTCCACAGAAACCTGAAAGGCAGTATTTTCCAAAAATTCTCTTGACTATTTACTGAGCTTTTTTTTTATATATATTTATTTTTTGTCAGTCGTGGGGCTTGAACTCTGGGCCTGAGCGCTGTCCCTCAGCTCTTCAGCTAAAGGCTAGCACTTTACCACTTGAGCTACAACACTATTTTGGGTTTTCTCGTGGTTTATTGGAGATAAAAATTTCACGGACTTTCCTGCCCGGCTTTGAACCACGATCCTCAGATCTCAGCCTCCTGAGTGACTAGGATTACAGGCATGAGCCACAGGCACCCGGCCTTTACTAAGCTTAAAGACAGAAGAAACAGTATTCTGACAATATGTAGAAATGGAAGTCAGGGCTAGGCAAAGAAGAGCAGCATGAGGTAGCTTAGAAGTGTTGTCGAGCATGGTCCTCTCAGGATGTTCCTAGGATCAGCAATGTCTCCCCTCCCTTCCTCATTCAGAAGTTAACATCAATCAAAATCCAGAATGACAAGATGCGTACAGGAAACCTTCCAGCCAATATGAAGAAAAACCGTGTTTTACAGATCATTCCATGTAAGAGCCCTCTCCTGAGCCTTATTGTCCCACCCATCAATTCCCTTCACCCATTCTACTTTCCAGATACTAGTTAATAGTTGATTTAGAATTATAGTATTGCCTCTTGAGACTCTTGTTTTTTAGTGGCTTTTGTAAATAAAAAACCATAAAAGCCAAAGGCTTTCTGTCCTCCTGGCTGGCATGTCCTTGCATAGCCAGGATTATATCTCCCTAGGGTTTAAGTAAAAGCAGAAAGCAGAAGAAAGAAAAAGATGGGGGGGAGGGGGGAAGAGACAGAGAGGGAAGGAGAGAGAGATGTTGGTGAGTGGTAAGCCATTGTTCTTCCAGATGAATTCAACAGAGTGATCATTCCAGTTAAGCGGGGCGAGGAAAACACAGACTACGTGAATGCATCCTTCATTGATGTAAGTGATGGGATTCCCTAGGGCTTGCAGTGCCTCATATACCATCTTGCAAGGATCATCTTTGAGATCAGGCAACATTTACTGAATTTATACCTGCCCACCTACCCTGAGCACTAGGCCTGTCCAGGCCCAAAGAGGAGAAGGTAGAGGAAACAGGGTGTATACCTGTGTGATTCCTAGAGGAGAAGCTCAAAACAGCCACAGCCAAGAAAGATGAAAAACCTGATCTTTCCCATTCCTACTCTTCTCATCCTAACTCTAGCAACTGCTTCCCTTCCCCAAGGTTTGATCCTTGACCAAAGGGGAACTCTACCTGGGATATCGTACCTCCAAGGAGCCCCCATATATTCCCAGGGCCCTGTCTCACTGCCTCTTAGTAGGCCCATCTTTTCCACTTGCTCTCCTGATTAAACCACCTTACCTCTGTGATTGATTTGGCCTGTATAGGGCTACCGGCAGAAGGACTCCTACATTGCCAGCCAGGGCCCTCTTCTACACACAATTGAGGACTTCTGGCGAATGATCTGGGAGTGGAAGTCCTGTTCCATCGTGATGTTAACAGAACTGGAAGAGAGAGGCCAGGTGAGTGCAGAAAGAGCTTTTTGAGCTTCTAGAGATAGAATGAAAAGGAGAAGGAGGAGAACTAGATCTTTCTTTTGATTTACACTATGCTGGCCTATTATCCAACCAGTTAGTGCCTGAGAAGTCATCAGCTTCTCCCAGGAGTAGACAGCTAAGAGTAACCTGAGCTCCTACTCAATTCCAGACAGAGCCTACCCTTTCAGTTTCTCCTACCTCTAGACTTCTTTCTTTGCACATATCCTCTCTACCCACTTTGCAGCCCACAAGATGAGAGGCAAGGTACACAGCCACATCAGGGTTCTGGAGTGGAGTGTCCCTAAGATGAGGCCATTTCTCTGCTGGCTGCACAAACAAAATAGTAGAATCTAGAAATAACAAAAGCAAGAAATGTGCAACTTCAGTATCAAGCCTGCGACATGTATATTTTTGTTGGCTGAGCAGGTTATTTGAAAGAGATGAAACAAGTGGAGCATGATGAAGCATGTCCAACGGTGTTACACAGCTTAAGAAAATTTTTTAAAGAAAGCCCTCAAATTTACTAACGAGTGGTATCATCTGGGGTTTCAAACTATAAAGAGACCTCAGATCTCTCAACTCCACTCAGCATAAACAAATATGTCCCAGCCCCCTAACTTGCATTTTTTTTAAATCTCTCTGGTAACATAAGGAGAACAAATGATAAATTAGCAAGCTAGAAGCCAAGAGGAACTATGGTAGGGCTGGTGCAAAGACTATCCTAAGAGGATAGAGGGGTTGGTGAGATGGACATAACAAGGAAGAGTTAGGCATGTACCTTCTCATGACTCCCTGAGTTTGTAATCAATTAAAAATTAAACACACTAGGGTTGGGAAGGTGGCTCAGTGGTAGAGCACTTGCCTTGCATGCGTGAGGCCCTGGGTTGGATTCCTCAGCACCACATAAGCAAAAAGAAAAAAAAAGACGGAAGTGGCACTGTGGCTCAAGTGGTAGAGCGCTAGCCTTGAGCTGAAGAGCTGAGGGATAGCACCTAGGCCTAGAGTTCAGGCCCCATGACCGGACCCAAGAAAATAAAAATTAAACACACTAAATAGGTTGTTTCAACTACTAGTTGTTCCTCATTCCATGTGTATGCCACTTACTTAGTTTGATAACAAGGTTTTGCACATTTTTGCTAACCCTGACATTTTATCATATCAAGATATTTTTCCCATTATAACCAGTCATTGAATTCTATAACTAGTCTTCCCAGACATATATAATGTACCTAATCAGCTGATATCCTACATAGGTTGTCATCAGTCATCAGTAGCAACACTGATATAGTCAGAGGCTTGGGTTAAGGTCCTCAGTTTTGCAGTTATGGAAACAGACACCTGAGTAGCAAAGACCAGCTGAGACTGAGCTGCTGTGTTATCAGGACCTAGGTGCATGTCTGGTAACACTCTCTAAGTCCTGAAATGCAGGTGACACGAGGGTCTTACATGCATCTCCACTATATCTCTTCCCCAGATACAGGATGAGAAGGCCCAGACCCAAAACTATTTAGGCAGATAATCAGACTACCATCCTTGAAGAGAACTTAGTGTGACCAAAGAGCAGGAGAGACTTTTACCTCCAATTAACCAGAAAAAAGGTAAAAGTAGAGCTGTGGCCCAAGAGGTAGAATGCTAGCCATGAGCAAAAATGCCGAGCTAGAGTGCAAGGCTCTGAATTCAAGTCAAATACCTTTCTTTTTCTACTTATTTTTTTCCAAGTTTTTCCCATTCAACACAAGTACATACATAGTTGATAAATTTTTAATTGTTTATAGTAAAGAATCTCAGATCCTCCCCTAAAATGCTGTAAAGAAGTAGACTATATATAGGGCTGGGAAGGTGGCTCAGTGGTACAGTGTTTGCCTTTCATGTATGAGGCCCTGGATTCCATTCCTCAGCATCACATAAACAGAAAAAGCTGGAAGTGGCGCTGTGGCTCAAGTGATAGAGTGCTAGCTTTAAGCTGAAGGGCTGAGGGATAGCACCCAGGCTCAGAGTTCAAGCCCCACAACCGACAAAAAAGAGAGAGAGACTATATAATTATTTTGTTTTATCTAAATACTTACACCTTGACTTGTTCTTTAGACATTGAATAAATTCATTTACCAGATACTTACAAAAGAGCCTACCATGTGCCAGGCATTGAACAAGGTGTTGAGAATACAGATAAATAGATAGCCTGTCCCTACAGGGGGCCATAGAGGGACTTGAGATAGGTGCAAGCAAAGACAGACTATACTGTAAGCCATCTCTTGCCCACTAACAAGAAACCCAGGGGCCCACAACCCTCAGGTACCCTTGCAGATTGAAGGGATCAAGATGAAGAGGATAAGGCTGTCTTCAAGCACTCTGGCTCAGTGGGAGTGTAAATGGACTTAGGATTTCTGAAGCAGGAGACTGACATGTAATCAGGTTCAGGGTATGGAAACACCCCTTAGGAGAGTAGGGAGACAGAAGTTGGAACAAATATGTTCACTTTTCTATTTCTGATATCTCCAATTAATTCAAGTTGGAAGTTAATTAGAATGATGTGCAGTGATATGGTAATCCACCAAGTTTTCAGTGCCTTGAGGATTCAGTGTGTCAGAAGAGGTAACTGTGCTGAGAGGGACTAGGAGGCCTGTAAACAATGCTGCTCTGCCACATACAGTGTTGTAGTCCCTCACTTCTACTATTCATCCCTCCAGGAGAAGTGTGCCCAGTACTGGCCATCTGATGGCCTGGTGTCCTACGGAGACATCACAGTGGAGCTGAAGAAGGAGGAAGAATGTGAGAGCTACACTGTCCGGGACCTCCTGGTCACCAACACCAGGGTAAGATTAGTGGAAAGTGGGAATCCTCCTGCAGGGAAATCAGAGCTGTCCCTCTTCCCTGATCTGATGATTCCCTTTCCTCCAAAGGAGAACAAGAGCCGGCAGATCCGACAGTTCCACTTTCATGGCTGGCCTGAAGTGGGCATCCCCAGTGATGGAAAGGGCATGATCAGCATCATCGCAGCCGTGCAGAAGCAGCAGCAACAGTCGGGAAACCATCCCATCACCGTGCACTGCAGGTACTGCTCGCCTCCGGTGGGGGCAGAGGGAAAACAAGGAAAGGCAGGCGGAAGGAGCATTAATGAGTGAGTGACAACCTGAGGAAGCCTCACATTGTGAGATGTGATCAGAGATCTGAGAGTTTGAATGTGGTCTAAGATAGTGGACTGGAAGTCAGCCTAATGGTCACACCTATAATCTCAGCTTAGGAGGCAAAGGGGTAGGAGAAACAGGAATTAGAGGCCAGCCTAACCAAAGTTAGGCTGTTAGCTCAGGCAGTAGAGTGCTTGCTAGGAGGCCCTGGATTCAATCCCATTGTGTCAGCAATGGAGAGAATCAAGGGAAACCAACATCTGAGAGACCCATGGGTAGTACAGGGTCGGGGCATGGTCTTCTTAAGCCTGGAGAAAGGGGAAAGAGCAAGTATTTTTTAAATGGTTTGAGGAAAAGGGAACAAAACTAAGAGCATAAAGTAAAAATGAAGGAAACTTAAGAATTCTCCAGGTATGAGCCAGAGTTACTGGTCACAGATGATGTGACCAACAATGGCCAGTAAGTTTTGTTTGGGGAGAAGGCCAGTTTTGTTTGGGTGAATGTGAATTTTATTTGAGATTACATTATTGAACAAAAAAATGTTAGAGGCTGGAGTTGTAACTGAAATCGTAGAGTTCAGACTCCAGTACATCCAACCCTTCCCTCTACCCCCACCAAACAAAAACAACTATGCCCTGAGTTGTCCTGACTAGTAATAGTTGAGGTTATCTAAAGATTGTGCATTCTGATTTTCCAGTTCCTCTTCTTTCATCCTCTCTCAAGCCTATTCCAACACACACACACACATGCACGCACGCACACACGCACGCATGCACGCCCCATCAGGACTACTCATGGCCTCCAAGTTGCGGAAGCCAGTGATCACTCCAGCCTTGTTATAGTTGACCTTTCACCGGCACTGCACAGTCAGTCACTCATCTCCCTGGAGCTCTAGTATGGCTTTTCAGCCTCATGAGCTATTTCTTCTCTGTATCCTATGCTGTTCCCATTCTTCCTGTGACCAAGACCCCCTCCTTGAACTTCAGGTCAACAGACCATTCCCTTATGTTATTCACCAAGTCCCCTGGGCTTTTATACCAATTTCCAAGTCTTCATCATCATTCAGCCTCCCTACCCCAAAATCCAAACTTAGGTTTCCCATACTCAGCATTCTCATGCTATGTCTGATACTTAAGGTTCTAATCAGAACTACTATTTCTTCTCAAGCCTTCCCTAAATCAATAAGTAACAGATATATTTTCATTGCTACTTAACTCCCATGAGAAGCCTTGGAACTGGCCTGTTTTCCCTTTCTCACATCACATCTAACCCATTGCACATGATGTCATCTCAAAATCTGGTCTTCTTTACTATTCTCCCTCCACCTACCCTCTCCATGTCCTCAATACAGCAGCCTTGAGAGCTTTTTCAATGTAAGTCAAACCACACCACTTTTGTACATAGATCCCAGTGTGATCTGAGGGTTCCCTATTGGACCAGGCAGCAGGGTGCATTCTGGGCTGGTGTTCTCCTGGGGCTCTGACCCCACTCCACCTATCCCTCTTACATCATATATAACCACATTTCCTCACCACCATTGGCCCAAGAGGCTTATTCCAAGGCAGCTATGGTGCTTCATCCTTACCTTGTCCACATCTGCACTCACATGGCACTCTTTCAGCAAGCCTTCCCCAAGCACCCTGCTTGGGATTCCACTCCTCCTTCTCCCCTTACTGTACATCTTCTTGTCCGGGAGTCTGCTAAGCCTTACCCTGCCAAAGAGCAGACATTGACTCTCTGGTGAGAAAATCAGCCTGTGACATTGGATGGGGTAGATAGTGTCAAAGCCAGGGTTTGGTTTACCCAGACTTAAAAAGAAGATGACAATTTGCCTTGTGAAGGTTAAACTGTGTATGTGACTTAACTAAGTATCACTGTCCTACAATACTGTGAAATCTGTGAAATTTATATAATCACTTAATCTCAATAAAAAATTATTTAAAAAAGAAGAAGAAACACATGGAAAAGGAGCTGCGACACACACCAGTGAAGAAATGTTTATAAGGGAAAGGGAAGAAAGGACTTGAATTCTAACCTGAGCCAGCAGTGAGCAGCTCAGAGCTTTGTCGGTCGATAGTGCTGATGGGACGGGAGGAAGGTTGTCAGCACAATCCCATAGATAAATAGGAAGCAGGCACAGGAAAAGGCAGCAGGGGTACATGCCACCCCAAAACCATGCTGTCACAGGGCCCCTGTAGGCTAGAAGGCAGAGGTGAGCAGGGGCGCTTGCCCCACCTGCCCTCTTCCCTAGTAGTTTCACAGATCACTCACCTTCCTAGCACTAGTCAGCCTTCCTGTGCTTCTCGCTGCATTCATCCCTCAGCACAGAGGGCTGGTAAGTACATCTGTCTGTTTCAGCGCCGGGGCAGGACGGACGGGGACCTTCTGTGCTCTAAGCACAGTCCTGGAGCGTGTGAAAGCAGAGGGGATTCTGGATGTCTTCCAGACTGTCAAGAGCCTGCGACTGCAAAGGCCACACATGGTCCAGACACTGGTATGCCAGTCCATGCCACTACACCAGCTGCAACCCTTCCCTCTCAGTGAGGAGCCCTTCAGAGACCACCCAATAGACTAGCCACGGGCCCACTATTCCCCAAAGTGCCCCAAGAGGCAAGAAGTGCCTTGAGAGGCAGAATCACAGTTGGAGTATAGCCTCTGTCCTGAGAGAGGTGTACGGGAGGCTAGAAGGGGTCCCTGGGTGCCCCACAGGGCTTGCCTATGTTTTACCTCATTTCAAGGAGGGGAGGAGAGAACAGGTCACAAGAGTATGTATCTTTGCCTTTGCTCTGGGCTCCCCATCACGAGATCTGACTTTTGATAGTCTGGCCATCCATAAAAGTTTTTGCAAGTCCTGTGGAGCTAGAAATGTTTGAGGGGAAAATGAAAGGTGATTCTGAGGAGTTCTAGAGAAGATGCCACTTTGAGAGCCAGGGCACATCATCAGCCCAGCACACTCATGTCTGACCCTGCAGGCCTACTACTGACCTCATCACTGTGCCCAGCTCTGTAGTCAGCCCAGAAGGCAGAGCTTCCAAAACTCTGGCTAACAGGTCAGCTGCAGGTGTACGTCCTTCAGTTTTCCATTTTTAAAACACAAGCCAGTTAGGATCTACAGTTCCATATTCTCTTTGGTAACCTTGGCTTTCTTCCCCTCCTCTACTCTCCAGGAACAGTATGAGTTCTGCTACAAGGTGGTGCAGGAGTACATTGATGCATTCTCAGACTATGCCAACTTCAAGTAACAGGAGATGAGGCTCACGGACAGAATTGCCTTTAATATTTTGTAATATTCTGTTTTGTTAATATACCCAAAATTGTGTATATATCTTATAACTGTTTTAGAAATTGGTACATAGGCTTCTATTACCTATTAGGTGGAGATTTTATATGTAAATGTGTTAGCACTGATAGTCCTTTTTCCAATGTTTTATTGGGGAATTAAATAGTGTGATGTTTGGATTGATATCGTGAAATCCTCAGCCTGGAAATTGGGCTGGTTTATTACTCTGCATTAAAACATCTGTTCCTAAAGAAAATAAACACAAAACCCATTCCAGGTAGCTCGGCACCAACTAAGAAAACAAGCACAAAGTTCTCAGAGCTCTTGAGGAAATGGTCGTCCCCGTGCCCCAATGAAAACCTGTGTCCTCTCCTTCACTGTAAATTACCCCTCCTCTCTCCAGCCCACTCCTGCCATCTCCTACATCCCAGCAGCCCCCTGTGGGGAGTAATGGGACCAGAGCGGTATCTCTGGCACCACACTAGGGATTATCAGGTAATAAAAGCTTTGACTCCCTGCGGAAATGTCTCTCCCTTTGTCTGGGGTGGAGCAGCCAGAAGTTATGGCTGGGGCTCTAGGCCACTCTTGTCCCTGCCCAACGTTGCTGCTGTCAGTTGCTTCTGTTCCAGCTCTCAGCTCTGAACAGTACCTGGAACTCTGCTTTCTTTCCACCCCATCTTTGTTCCAGTGATCCCAGTGAGCTTTGTTCTCTTGGGGTTTCTCTGAGGGCAGGGGCCCAGGGGAGAGAGAAGCTTAGTCATGGAGCAGGAGCTAGTCTGACCTGTCCAGTCCCTGGTATGCTCCAAAGCCATCTGGATTGTCATTTCATGTTTTGCTAAGAGGGACATGAAGGTAAATTCCAGAATCAGCCTGGGAGGGACATCAGACCTCCCTGAAAAGCTAAATATGTTTCTCAAAGAAAGGGACCAGAGCTTTCCCTGGGAAACAAGTTATTCTGGTTTGGAGTTCTCCAGAGGGCAAGAGGGCAGTACAAAACAAAGCCCCGTTCTTTCTAAATAAGTGTCAGGGACATTAACTGAAGCATTCTGTCAACCCAAAGCAGAACACAGCCAGAGGCTCAACTAGAGTTGTTTTCACTAAATAATAAAGCAAATGTTTTCCTAAAAATTATCTAGTTACCTAGGAGCTGATGGCACACACCTGTAATTCTGGCTCCTAAGAATGTAAAGAGGGGCTGAGAAGTTGGCTCAGTGGTAGAGTGCTTGCCTACCATGCATGAGGCCCTGGGTTCAATTCCTCAGCACCACATAAGCAGAAAACGAACTGGGCACTGTGGCTCAAGTGGTGGTGCAGAGCTGAGGGACAGCACCCAGGCCCAGAGTTCAGCCCCCACGACTGACCAAAAAAAAAAAAAAAGAGAGACTGAGATTTTGCTGGGTGCCAGTGGCTCACGCCTGTAATCCTAGCTACTCAGGAGGCTGAGATCTGAGGATCACGGTTCAAAGCCAGCCCAGGCAGAAAAGTCCATGAGACTCTTATCTCCAATAAACCGCTAGAAAACCAGAAGTGGTGCTGTGGCTCAAGCGGTAGAGAGCTCGCCTTGAGCTGAAGAGCTGAGGGATAGTGTCTAAGCCCAGAGTTGAAGTCCCACGACTGACATTAAAAATAGAAGAAGGTAGGGCTGGGAAGGTGGCTCAGTGGTAGAGCCCTTGCCTTGCACACATGAGGCCCTGGGTTCAATTCCTCAGCACCACATAAGCAGAAAAGAAAGCCGGAAGTGGCATTGTGGCTCAAGTGGTAGAGCGCTAGCCTTGAGCTAAAGAGCTGAGGGACAGTACCCAGGCCCAGAGTTCAGGCCCACGACCGGACCCAAAAAAAAAAAGAAGAAGAAGGTAAAGATTGGGAAGACTGTTCAAGGAAACCCCAGCAAAAAGTCTGAGAGGCTCCTTCAACCAATAGCAGAACATGGTGCCACAAGCCAGTCATTCCAGCCAAGAGGGAATTGTAAGTAGGAGGACCACAGTCCAAGCAGAATCATGAGGTTCTATTTGAAAAATAACTAGAAAGGCCAATGTGTTAAAAGCCAGAAAGGAGATGTAGCTCAAGTGGTAGAACCTAGCCAAGCAAGCACAAGACCTTTAATACAGTTGTATTAAAACCACCCAGTTGGGGCTGGGAAGGTGGCTCAGTGGTAGAGCACTTGCCTTGCATGCATGAAGCCCTGGGTTTGATTCCTCAGCGCCACATAAGGAGGGAAAAAAAGCCGGAAGTGGTGCTATGGCTCAAGTGGTAGAGCGCTAGCCTTGAGCTGAAGAGCTGAGGGACAGCGCCCAGGCCCAGAGTTCAGGCCCCACGACTGGACCCAAAAAAAAAAAAGTTTCCCCATTACCACTGACGGTTTCCTAGGCTGTTGTAAATTATCAGGATCCAATGTGATTAAGGACCCTTATAAAATATATATTTAAATGACGCACAGAGCAGGTTGTGACTTCATGACTGTGGGAGTCAGGAAAGCAGCTGTCAATTCCACCCGACTTAATGATAAGGAGACAATCCCTGAGGAAAGCAAGCGTACCAAAGCCTACCTCCGCGAGCAGAAGTGAGATGACTCTGTGCTGTGGTCAGGGCACAGTACAGGGAGGTTGGCTGCATAGAGGCTAGGACCTCACAGGCTTTGTACATCTTCAACTTCTGACAGCCCCTGCAAACCTACTATCTATCAGCACCCCGAGACAGACCAAGAGCCTACCTTCCAAGTTAAGCAAACCTCTAGACGAATGCATACATTTCAAGTCCTACTTCACTGTGTTGGGCAATTAGAATGAATCATTTTATTCCTTTTGGGACCAAAGAAGTAGTTGTCAAAATGAAAGGGGGTGGAGGGGTGATCTGGTGCCAACAAGGACTGTTACATCTACCTGAGAACTTCATCTCATCCATGTTTCAGATGCAATATGTTTTCATATACCAAGCCCTACTAGAGCATTATCTCTATGGGGATACAGAACTGGAAGTGACCTCTCTAGAAACCCACCTGCAGAAAATTTACAACAAAATCCCTGGGACCAGCAACAATGGATTAGAAGAGGAGTTTAAGGTGAGTTGGAGCTTGACAACCTCTTCAATCTGTAGAATGTGGATTGGGCAAAATGCAAGGCTAAGGAAGTAATAAACCTATGTCATGCTCCCATCCATAAGAAGTGCTCCCAGAAGCAAGGGAGTGTGGGTTGGGGGTGATGAGAACCATTTGGTTAAAGCAGTCCTTCTTACATTGTGATTATACACACATTCGAGTTCTGATGCAGCGGGCCAACACTGCTGATGTATGGGTTACTTTGGAAAGCAAGGATTAAGAAGTAACCTCAGGGCTGGGAAGGTGGCTCAGTGGTAGAGCGTTTGCCTTGTATGCATGAGGTCCAGGGTTCGATTCCTCAGCACCACATAAGCAAAAAGAAAAAAGCCAGAAGTGG